TTATTATGAAATATGCAGGCAGTAGGTTACTATTACAGGTTGTATCTGGCTTAATTACATGATATATTCATATACAGAAAATCGAATTTCAAAATATTTCTGTAGATACTTTTATCAATTCCGTGCAGAACCTCGAACAATGTCAGAAAAAAAAACTCAGAACTGTATCAGAAAAAAAAGGACTGAAACTCTGAGGAATGCTCTGTTTTTGGGTGTTTAGCGTCTAATAAATCTTCTCATTAATTGGATTGGTAATGTTGTGTGTTATAATTAATTTAAGTGAGTTATATTAGGAGTGTATTCCGTTAAATTAGCAGTTTTTCATTATTAAATAACTTGAGAGACCTATTATTACGTTGTATTCATGAATACATTAGCTGACAGCTGGACTGCCCTATTTTTTTAGCCGAGTTTTGCTACTGTATTCATGAATACAGTAGCTCGAATACATTGAATACATTATCGACAACTGAAAGGTATCTACGGAAAGTAATTATGTATATGGTAGCTATAAGAAGTTAATAGCCACTAAACAATAGTCATTTCTAAAAATTCCTCAATTTTAGAACATGTTGGATAGAATTTTCTCGATCGCTAAAATTTCACGTTGGGCAAAATATCAGCAATTATGCAAGTTTTCGTCACAAATCCCGTTCACCATAATTTTCAGCATTCTGTCTGAAAATTTCGACAATCGTGAGAATTTCTGGTACTTTAAAATTATGGCGATTGTCATAATTTATGTTGCTTCAAAGTTCTGGCAAGCGTGCTTTAAAATTCTGACGCGAAGCTATTTCTTAATTTTTTTTAACGTGGTCATAATATAAATATTGGTCCAGAAAAGGTCATCCAACATCATTAGGGGCTTTATTATTCAAAGACGACGGGTGTGTTTGGTATGAAGATATTTTGGAAAATATTTTCATTATCAACTCATTTCCCTATTAAAAGAAGGGAGAATATTTTCCAAAACTCTTAGCTGGCGTTTGGCCATAGATCCCAAATTTATTTTGAAAACTCTGATTTGGATGATGTTTGGTTTGAAGATGAAAATGTGTTTGGACATACGTTTTCAAAACATATTTCCTAACTTTATTTTGGAAAAACATGTATATAATTCCCAAGTTTTGGAATATTTGCCCAAAATCAGCAATTGGGGTGATTTTGGGATTTTGCCAAAATGTGGCCAAAATTTATGGCCAAACATGAATTTTGAAAATAAATCCCAAATTTATTTTGGCGAAACTCATGGCCAAACGGTCCTTTATTCAACCTTCTCCACCATATTTTCATGCCCACCAACCCCCACCAATCAACCCACCCCCAAATCACCCTTACCCCCTCCCCCTAACCCCACCCCACCCACCCCAGCCCCGCCCATCACCTACCTTAAATAGAACTATTAGTAAGAGTATTTTCTTTTCATGTTGTAGATAGAATATTTTTTTTTATTTCAACAAAATGAGGATATTCCTTTTATGATATAGTTAAAGTATTTTCTTTCATTTCAAAAAAATGAGTACTTTCTTTCCAGGATATAGAAAAAATATTTTCTTTCATTTCAACAAACTAAGTATTTTTTTTCCTGGAACAGAAAAAGTATTTTTTTCCCAACAAAGCGAGTACTTTTTTTGCATGATGTAGAAAAAGTATTTTCTTTCATTTCAACAAAAAAAGTACTTTCTTTGCATGATGTAGAAAAAGTATTTTCTTTCATTTCAACAAACTAAATATTTTCTTTCCTGATGTAGAAAAATATTTTTTTCTTTTTAACAAAATAAATACTTTCTTTTCATGATGTAGCTAGAAAAAATAATTTCTCAGTTCAACAAACTGAGTATTTTCTTTTCATGATGTAGAAAAATTATTTTCTTTTATTCAACAAAAAGAATAATTTCTTGTCCTATTGTAGAAAAGATACTTTTTTTTAAATAAAATAAAATATTTTCTTTTCAGTTATCGAACTCAAATTTTAACGTTGTTCTTGCGTGAAAAAATAAAGTAGTACATTAATTCCTTTGGGTTTGTGTGAATTTTGAAAAGAATGATTAAATTCTTGAAGAAAATAAAGTCCGGAGGAGCGGGTTTGGGGGTGGGGGGTGGGGGTGGAGGAGTACAAGAAACATGGAGATTTTGGAAAGATGGGTTGAGAAGAGTAGCATAAAAAATTATTTTCCAAAAAATATTTTATACTCTCTAACCAAACACTAAAAAATATTTTCCGGAAAAAGTTTTTCACTCACCAACCAAACAAGGGAAAATAAGTGGAAAATATTTTCCTTAACTACGTAGTATATATGCTTTCATCAAACTAAATTTCTTTTTTATCGCAGCCTGTCAACCAGTGGCGGAGGCAGAATCTCCACGAAGGGGGTTCAAAATTTTTTTTTTGTAGCTAGTGGGAATTGATCCTGTGACCTTATGAAGGTTTTTGAACCCCCTTGACCACTAAACTACACTTTTGGGTTGTGTTAAGGGGGTTCAAAACTTAATATACAGAGATAAAAACTAGATTTTGCCTTATATATACAGTATAATTTTTCGGCGAAGGGGGTTCGGGTGAACCCCTTGCGCCCCCCTAAATCCGCCCCTGCTGTCAACATATGAACATGGCTATACCTAGGATATATCTAACATCTTATCTAAACTTTAGTTTCTCTATATGTATAAATATTGAACTATAGTGCCCATTAGCTTTGAAATACCAAAAAAATTACTAGTGTGTAATATCTCCTATTTTTAAGGGTTTTCAACTTTTCATTCATTTTTTGCTCCTCCTAGATTTGAACCAAAAGTCTTGCTGCTTATTTATTCTGCATCAAATGGAATCACCGGGCTTTAATTTTAAAGATAAATAGTCATTAAAAAGTCCCCTCATGACTTACCTATCCGGCTAGCTAGCCTCCTCACATATGCAAGACCCTATAGAATATTCATGCAAATTAAAACTCTTTTAGAAAAAGAAAAAAAGACTCAAATATATTTTTCCATAATTTTTTTGGTATCAATTTGTTGCCTAGCCTTCATGAAGTAAAATGCAGAAGTTACCTTCCTTAAATTCTATTCCAACTCTTTCATGCAAAAATCTGTAGACATGATCTTCATTTTGAGGATAATATTCATGAGCTCTTCTCATTTTTTATAATTCAAAAATCTTAACATCAATGCCTTCTCATGCACTTCATAATTATTCCTTAAATCTGAGAGCTTTTAAAGTCCTTGTCATTATTTCCTTGGTAGTTAGTTGGAAAAAGTCACTGTACAGTTTCCTTCCCCCCCCCCCCATGTAACACAAAATATTGATATTGATCACATCTGGAATATATTGGAGTTTCACAATGCTGCTGAAATACTTCATGTATAAATCCTTAGTTTATATAGTTACGTTTGATCACTTTCGTGCTTTGTCGTCTTACGTTGCCCTCTAGCTAGGTAATTTTCTACACTTTATTTCTCACTGTCTCTTAAAATCTATAATCTCCTCTTAGTAAAGAATCATGCTTTCCCTATTAAAAAAAGAGAAAATATTTTTCAAAACTCATTCTCAATCTTCGGTGCCCTCTTCCCCATCCCACTAACCCCTCCACCCCCACACCCTACTCAACCCCACCTCACCCCCACCTACCCACCCACCCCCTCCACCCCACTCCCGCTCTAAATATAATATTATTAATAATATTTTCTTTTCATGGTATAGATAGATTTTTTTTTTAATTTAAACAAACGAATAATTTTTTCATGATATAAAAAGTATCTTTTCTCATTTTATCAAAAAAATACTTTCTTTTCATGTAGAAAAGTGTTTTTTTCATTTCAACAAAAAAAAAATATATTTTCTTTTCATGATGCAAAAAATATTTTTTTTCATTTCAACAAAGTGAGTATTTTCTTTTCATGATGTAAAAAAAGTATTTTCTTTCAATAAAATGGGTACTTTACTTTCATGTTTAATTTTAGAAAGAGTACTTTCTTTTTCAACCAAAAAAGAGTATTTCTTTTTAGTTATGGAACACAAATTTCAATATTATTTTTGCGTAAAAATATAAAGCAGCATATTAGTTCCTTTGAGTCTGTACGAATTTAAACACATGGGGGAAGGGAGAGGGGTGAGGGGGTGAGGAGAATAGCATAAAAAAATATTTTCTATTTTCTAATCAAACACTAAAAAATATTGTCATTTTCTTTTTCGCATCAACTATAGAAAGCAGCTGTTTCGAAGAAAGTTGGTTCCAAATTGTGCAACCAATTTCGATTTCGAATATATTCATTATCAACCTTATGAGATTTAAATTTCAGTCTTGAAAATGCCAAGTTACAGCTCTTTTTGAAGGACAATTAATTGATCCATGCTCATTTCACAATAAACTTGCGCTGCTTCTTTGATATCTGTCTAATATTTACTTGAACAGCTTATACTACCAACATCAACCACAATAAGAAAAAATAATTTGAAGTGGCAAAATGCAACCAATTTGAATATGCAGAAAAAATATCCAACCCATGATCAAATACATTATTTGAACGTACCAACTGCTATCTGATATCCAAACTACGACATCATGTTTTAAACTCCTTGTTAGTAACTTTTCCAAGAATCCTGATATCCCAACCAACCCTATTAATGTATTCTCTGCCAAAAAGTGAAAAAGAGAAAAATTGAACAATCTGATCTATGCAACAATCTTAGTCAAATACAAAAATCATTTCTATCGTTCAACCAACTACGTCTCAATCTCAAACAGCTAAAAAATATAAATGAACCAGGAAAATGCAATCGAAACAGATTTTCTCATTGACCAATAAAAGAAAAAAATCATTCACGCACAGACAGAGTCTATCTGAATTTTGCCATATCTCATCAAAATGCAATTCAAAATTTTTCTGATTCATTCACTGCTAAGCTACACAGTCTGAATTAGGGAGTTCCTGATTGTGTGGGACTGATCAGATGCACACATCTATACAGTATATATATATATATATATATATATATATAAAACTACAGAATTTAAGGGGGTCATTATTGGATGATGCAGTGTCAAATAGATTCCACTTGTGATTCAATTGAAACTTCCAAGACAAATTAGGACTCTCTTTTTTCATCACTCCACACACAAAGTACACACTATCTGTTTATCAATATCTCATTAAACACACACACATACAGAAAAAGGTCACGCACTAAACCCTAGTCCCAGAAAACTCCTTGAATACACTACTTTCAAGATTCGATTTTTCTGAGAAAGTTTTGGATTTTCTTGGAAAATAGAAACACCCAAATGGCGGAAAACGGTGCTCTGCCGGACGATCTCCGGTGTAACAGAACGGACGGCCGGCAATGGCGGTGCAAACGGCGGGTAGTGGAAGGGAAAAAGCTTTGTGAAATTCACTATATTCAAGGTCGTCACAGGAATAAGAAGCAGAAGGTACCGGAGTCGCTGAAAATCATTAGAAATACGAAAAACAAGAAGAAGCCCAAGATTCAGAATTCAAAAGGGTCTCTTGAAATTGGGTTGAGAATATTAAAGAAGAAGAAGAAACCCCTCAAGCCTAAACCCTGTGTTTCAGAGGCATTAGATGAAGCTTTGAGGAGAATGGAACTTAAAAGAGGGGATTTGCCGTTAGAATTGATTCGGGTTTTCTTGAAACGACAATTAGAGAAGAAAAAAGATAAAGAATCGAAGAATGATTGTGCTGAATTAATGAGAGAGTTCCCCAATGCTGTAATGGCCATTCCTTCTACACCCGCGGAGAATTTCAACAATGCAGGTTCTATTTTGGACATAAAATTAGGCCTGGATTCGAGCTCTAGCCCCTTTTCGTTAAGGCATTTCCGATCAAAAAATATTGAACCCCTTCCAATTAGTACAATGCAGGTTATTTCTTTTTTCGTGTGAGCTTTTGTTTTAGTTCAAAAAACTGATGTTCTTTTGAATTGTTATTGTTGTGTATGCATAATAACTGTTGTAATGAATGTGGGGTGCCTTTTTGGTGATTAGGCCGTGCCATTTGCTAAGAATGGGAAGAATTTAAGTAGAGTAAACAGAAGGAAGTGTCATTGGTGTAGAAGAAGTAGCTACCGGGTTCTGATCAAGTGTTCGAGGTGTAAGAAACAATTCTTCTGTCTGGATTGTATAAAAGAAAGGTTTGATCTTTTGCTTTCTTTAGTTTTTGAACTAATTTACTTATATTTATGTATGCTTACCTGTTTTCTCACAATTCTCCTGCATGCAAAAGCATTTGTATTGAAACCATTTTGTTAGTGTTAAATGCATTCGTGGCAAGTTATGCCATCTGCCTTTGATTCTGGTACTTACCAGTTGAACTATCTTCAGCTAGATTGTTCAATGACTTTAACCTTTTCTCAAGGAGCTTACAACTAGCTATAAGTGGGTAAAATAATTGTTATTGGCTGCATCTGATACTCTCGAATTAGGACGACATTCAGTTAGGATGTTAATGACTTTAACCTGGTGGCATGGATCTTAGACTATGAGTTGGTAAGAAATGCAAAGGACTATTTAGGATGTCCTTGACATTTGACAAGAAGGTTGAGCTGTATTTTTCTTATTGCTTCTGCTATGCTGCTGTGTCCTGCGACTTCAGGTGATTTGAACAGCTGGAGTTTGAAAGTCTTTTCTGTTAGAGAAGAAAAAGCATAGGAAAAAATGAACTGTATAAAAGGAAGGGGGGGGGAAGGGGGGGGGAGTGGAAAGTCGTGGGATGTAAATGTTTGCTGATGTTTCTCTCCTTATAACCAAATGAGAATTGGTAAAAGATAGTAATTGACTGGGGGTAGGGGTGGGGTGGGGTGGGATGGATATGTAAGAATAAGTTAATAGTTACCTACATTTTCAAGCTTAGCTGAAGATTACCCAGTTCTTGAGGGATCTCTCCTTCAAGTAAATTTTCAACTTTGTTAGATTGGAAAGGGAAGATGGGATATTTCCAGAATATTGGTTCATCGAAAGGCACACAAAGCGAAGGTTTATTAGCGGACTTAAAATTGATGGAATGGCACCAGTGAAGTTATTGCTTTTGACATCAATTACTTTCAATCTCTGCAAATGAACCAAGTCTTCTGGCAAATCCCCGTGGAAAGTGTTGTTACTGATCTCGAGGGAAATGGTACCTTGAAGTTGCATTCTAGAAATGTCTAAAGCTGTGCCCCTATGGTGGCGGGAGCTGCAGCCTGCATGTGATGCCAATCCAGCTGCAAACTGAACTAGAAGCAGGGCAGTTGCTTGCTAAAATGTTGTTAGGATCAGATGAAACGTGGATATGTAACAAGAATAACTTGTTACGTGAAAGTTCTGATATTTGATCTGTTTTAGGTATTTGGAAAAGCAAGAAGTTAGAGGGGCATGTCCTGTTTGCCGTGGAGCCTGTAGCTGTCGGATCTGCAAAAGGAATGAATTGAAGCCCTCCAGTCATAAGGTCTGACAAAAGTGAAACTGAATTTGAGCCATCGTATGTACTTATCTAATTCTGATTCGCTTGTTTATGGACAAAATTGTACCAGGAATTCTGTAGGCATAAAAGGAAGGTTCAAAAAGTCCAGCTACTTTATCATCTGGTGCATCTGCTTCTTCCTGTACTGGAAAAAATAAATGAAGAGCAGAGAATTGAAGTGGAGATAGAAGCAAAGATATCGGGTACTGTTGTTTACTTGACACTCTGGGATTTGTTTATTTTTCCGAGTTTAAGACATCTACTCATATTTTACAATTTATAGGAAAGCAGCAACCTGACATTCAGGTTCAGCAGGCTTCAGCAGGAGAAGGAAAATTATATAGCTGGTAAGTTGATTGCTCCTGAGAAGTTTGGTTGTTAAGGATATTAGACCTGCTGCCTGTCTTATCCATGCTATTTTAATTCTGAGCAGTAGTAACTGCAAAACCTCCATTCTGGATTACCACAGAATCTGCTCTAAGTGTTCATATAGCCTTTGCTTACATTGTTGTCGGGAGTCCCGTCTTGGAAGCTTAGCTGAAGATTGCAAATCCGATGGTTCTAATGAAGAACAAGCTTGTTCTTCTAACTTTGAGCGAACATCAAGGATGAAGCATACCAGCACCTCAAGGCAAAGTTTCTCGGGGATACATTACTTGCAAGCTTGTGCTGATGGAAGTATATCTTGTCCCCCTGCAGAATATGGCGGTTGTAGTAATAGCATCCTGGATTTAAGATGTGTATTTCCCTACGCTTGGATCAAGGATCTGGAAATCAGTGCTGAAGCATTATTATGCAGCTACAACTTTCAGGACGCGGAACACATTTTTTCATCTTGCTCATTATGCAGGGGAAGTGATCACAAAGATGCTGTTGCTGATTCATTCATGAAAGTGGCTGAGAGACAAGATTCGCGGGACAAGTTTCTGTATTGTCCGTCTATAAAGAATCTCCGTGAAGAAAACCTTGAACACTTTCAGAAACACTGGGGTGAAGCTCATCCTATTATAGTACGAAATGTGCTTCGAAATTCTCCTGATTTGTCTTGGGATCCTGTTGTTATGTTCTGCACTTACCTTGAGAAAAGGTCAAACTGTTCCCGAGATAAAGAAGCAGCTAAGGCACAAAATCACTCGGACTGGTGTGAGGTAGGTTCTTTATGCTCTCTTCTCTAGATCTAATAAAATGCTCTATGTCCTCTGGGCCCTTGACAAGAATTTTCTTTTATCATCACCCTTGACTAGAACTTAACCTCTAAATTACAATATTTTAGGATGCAATTGACAAAGTTATGTTTATAAGGTTGAAATCAGTTGGGGTAGAAAGGCAATTCTCTATCAGAACAACAAATTAGTATTATCTATCATCTATATATCTAATTTGTTAAAGTCTTCCACCCTGCATTCTCACCATTTTTTAAAACAGAAAAGAAAGAGAACATTCTAAAGAGGGCGCCCAAATGTTCTTGGAGGTTAAACTTAATTCTCATGCTACATAACTAACAAATAAAAAGTCAAAGATATATAGATTAAAAATTAAGCTACAGCATCCTTTTCACCATCTTTTTAATTGGAATTATTTTGTATTGTACTAGTGCTTTATAAGGAATCATTTATATTGATGATGTTTTTTCTTATCCTCATTGGTTTTCTACATTTTTCTTTTTTAAATGAAGTAGCCTCTGAAAGTGTACATATTTATGTAAAAAGAATTTCATGGCCTGATAATCTGCAGTTTGTAGGTTGAAATAGCTAGAAAGCAGATATTTATGGGGTCACTTGAATGGCAAACACATGCAACAATGCAGCGCGATATGGTAAAGTTTAGAGCATGGCTTTCTTCCCATCTTTTCAAAGAACAGTTTCCTGCTCACTATGCGGAGATCTTGAGGGCTTTACCACTTCAAGAGTATATGAATCCAAAATCTGGTCTTCTAAATCTAGCAGTTAAACTGCCACCGGAAATGCCAGAAACTGATTTGGGACCTTCAGTCTATATTTCCTATGGTGGACCTGAAGAAGTATCACAAGCAGAATTTGTCACTAAACTATGTTGTGAATCTTATGATGTGGTAGGCTTAATTTTCTGCTATTATCTATTTTTTTGGTTTATTTTCTTATCTTGGCTGCATGCAATTGAACACTGAGACCATCCTATTTATTATATCTTCTCTGGTGACTGCTAATTTTCGAAAGATGAAACACATTTCTGCTTCTATGAAGCTACTAGCTAGTAAATCGTACAAGATGCACTAACATAGCATGGAAAGTTCATTGAAACTTTTCGTGATTCACCCCCCCCCCCCCTTCCCAAGACTCTCCAAAAATATCGATGGGTGCGTGTCGGATCCTCCAAAAATAGTGCATTTTTGGAGGATCAGACACGGGTGCGACAGCTGTTTCGGATAGTCCCAGCAACATAGGTAGCATGAAAAGGGAAATTTTAGTAGACTGGAACTATCCATGTCTTATGGCGTTCAATAGGGTTCTAAATGTGATTTCCTCTTACAGTCTGAAATAAAGATTGATCTAGCATGTGAGATGACAACTGAAATTTTGATTCATATTACTTGGGTTTTGCTCAGGTTAATATTCTTGCATGTGCTACCGATGTTCCCATTTCCAAGGAACAAGTAAGAAAAATAAAATGTTTAATGAAAAATAAGAAGCCTCAAGATCACAAGGAATCTACCAGCTACTCAAGTGATCAGAAAGGAAAATCATCTTTGCATAGTGGAGATACAGAAGAATCCTGTCTGCAGGATGCAACTGGCGGGCACTTGCCTGACGGTATTGCTAAACGACCTTTCTACTCTGCTGACTCACTAAATGGTCAAAGGTATGGAGACCAGGATGGCAATATCTCGAGTGACAATGAAAATGACTCAGAATTTGAGTCTGATGTCTCACTGTTCTGCTCTGGATCTGTTGAAAGATCTGAAGATTCAGACAGTGATTATCTTTTTGAAGATGTCGATAGTGCAAAGAAAGAAGCAAAATCTTCAGGTGCTCAATGGGACGTTTTCCGCAGACAAGATGTCCCAAAGCTTCTAGAGTACCTCAGAAGGCATTCTAGCGAGTTCACCTCCACGTCTGGTTATTCCAAACAAGTAAAGCCCTTTGTACCAAGAGTTTCGTGGTAAAGGTAGAGTATGAAAATAGAAATTAACTTAATCTTCATATCTTTTGGCATGTACCCTGCTGCAGGTTGTTCACCCAATTCTTGATCGAAGTTTCTTCTTTGATGCATTCCACAAATTGAGGCTTAAGGAGGAATTTGGTATATTTGCTTTGTCTTCTTTTATCTTTATTGCTTGGACGAAATTAGTACTAATTCTTAATGTTATTACTTTTTAGACGTTCAACCTTGGACTTTTGAACAACATCTTGGAGAAGCGATTCTCATCCCTGCTGGATGTCCATATCAAGTCAAACAACTTAAGGTATCCTTTACAGTGATGACCTTCATACATCTTCCACAAACACGATTTCCTCACTGCTCATGTAGAGTTTACTATATTGGATATTTTGAACATAGAATTAAGAACTGCAAATTCTTGTTTTAAACCCCATGAATTAGTTTGAAAACAGAAAGAAGAATCCATTGACCAAGGACAGTATGTTACTATTTTTTCTTTAGAATTTTTCTGGTCAGTCATGGATAAATAAATACATATGAAATGACAGACTTGAAGATAATTGTAAGTAAAGACTATGGATCAATTGAATAGATCCCACCATATTCAAATGACGGTTCGTTTAAGGTGACTTTTCCACTCTGTAACTTCTTTTTAAGGAAGTAGATTTCTCTCTAATGTGCAAAATTATTAACAGAAGCTTATTGGTGGCAGTGTTTTTAAAGGATCGGATGAGGAACGCTTATGCCCTGAAACTAGGTGCAAAGCAGGCTGGGTGCTTTGCCTTGCTTAGGTGGCACTTCAGTGCAGACACCAAGGCGCTACGGTGTGCGCCTCTTCACCCACGGGCTCTGTCTTGAATAGGACGACACTAAACAATATATATAGTTGGCAAATTGATATATCAATTTTCACGATAATAGGAAACTTTTGATAGAGCGATAAGGAATAGGAAATTAGATCCAATCGAAGAAAATAAGTCAGCGTACCTAACATAAAATTTAAAATGCATATGTGCATCTGAATCATAAATTATGGTTTTGTACTTGATTTACGTTAATTTTACTATGTATTTCACTTAACCATAAATTTTCATTTCTGTTATCCATATATTATTTTTATAGTTATATTGTCTTGCATTACAAGCATTTTTCTTCCTTTGCGACTTTCTTCACTCAAGCCCATGCTTTGTTGTGCATTTACACTTAAAGTGCATACGAGCCTTGGCACTTCTCTAAGCTTCTTTCATTGACAGCAGGGATTGATGGTAACTGTTAGTTAAAGGTTATTGGCACGCAAGATCATGATTAAAAATTGTATATTACCATTTTTGAACATCTCATTGTGAATTACTTATCTAGAGAGAAAAAAATATCAGAAAGTATGTTAGGCGACAATTTTAGCTGAATCAATTCTCACCATATCCAGCTTTGCGACAATTTTACTTTTCCGTATTCTGATTAAATCATGCTGTGAGCTGTTCCCTTGTACCATTACCTCTTCTACGTCTAAAAGAGCCTTAGACCAGCCTAACATTGATTGCATGTGCGCATATTACCAGCTCAACTGAATCTAGTCTCATATATATTTGTCAGTTATCTGGATGCTTTGTTTCTTTTAGCGCATAATAACTGACATAAGATTCTATTCACTGTGTACAGTCATGCATCAATGTTGTTCTGGACTTCATCTCGCCTGAAAATGTTGCTGAATGTATCCACATAATTGATGAAATTCGTCTACTTCCTGAGCACCACAAAGCCAGGGGAAAAGTGCTGGAGGCAAGTTTCACAACACTCTTTGTTTTAGTTGCTAAAAACTCTGGTTCAAACTACTATAATGTAGACACCCGAACATGGCATTGTTTGACGAATCTACAAAGTTATGCTTTTCTAAGGCTTCTGTTGGCTTTCATGTTTAGTAGCAGAAAGCATGTTTGAGAAAAATGTGTGTAAATGTTTGTACTTCTGGTCCTAGATCTAGCCTTACAATTCAAAAGGAAAATGCTCCTACATCCGGTTGTTCTTTTTCATATGCCAGCTTATTAGTCCAAAGTAGATCTCATTGTGTGGATACCTTATGTTATTTTTGTGTATGTTTTCTCACAATCCATGATGATTTCATTAATATACATCTTATAATGCATCTAGCAGGTGAAGAAAATGGCTGTTTCTGGGATCAGCAATGCAATTGCAGAGATTCGCGACCTCGTGCATGCTAAGCAGTCCTCTTGAGAGATGATAGACATGCAGTCTGTCTACTTATGCAATAGTAAGTTTAGGACTTGGTAGAAGACTGTACAAAGACTATTTGTTTTAATAAGGTGAAAAGTATATATGCAACTTCATACTTTTCAGAACTGATTGATGCAATCTGATAGATGTTGCAGGTTCATGCTACATACTGCCAGGGAATGGGATCTATTACATTTTTCGACAAAGAAAGGATGAATGGACATTGATTAGGTTAAGATCCTTGTCACTCGCGAGCAATTGGTTGTGTATATATTTGAAGATGAAAATCAAAGATCTCGCGAGTGGCAGATTGAACACATAAAATGCCACGAAAACGTATATTCAATATTCATTGTACATGCTTCGTTAGGGTCCTTTTGATGCTTCTGTAGATGTCCATAATTTTATTTATACAATTCTTACTCTTCTAATAATATTGGTGTTGTCCACAACAACATTCATTGATCAATTTATAACTTCAATAGCTACTTCGTGCGACTCCACACCCAAGTTCTTTTTATACAAATTCAAAAACTAGTTTCTTTGCATTGTATAAAAAACAGTTACGTTACAATCATGAATCAAGAGAGGAACAAGTCATATAATAAAGCATTACATGTATTCTTACAGATATAATTGTACGTACATAAACACAGCTATACATGACTCGATCGGTGTAGAAGAGTACTTCGCTAACAAGCACAAGCTATAAATTACATTGCTATATCTTCACACACACACACATATGTAACCTATAGCAACATGATAAATACATAGTGTAGAGAGGGTAGCTAGCTAATGTTTCTTGTTTGCAGCAGCATGTCCCTTCTGTGAATTAAAGTAGAGGGCAGCCACAGGAAGACCAAGTCCATTCTCACTTGCAAACTGGCGAGTCTTGAAATTAGCACGCCTTTCTGGTGGTTTATGGGGCACTTGCTCCGCCTCCGTCTGCCTAAACAAAGTAAACACGTATCGATGTATCCCCGTTGGTGGCTGAGGTCCCATATATTCCATAAGCTCCCTTCCTGCAACCCCATCACATGAAGAAATAATGCGAGAGTTTTAACGTTTTAAGTACTGATAATATTTACATTATCAGACAGCTTGTAAGGTAATATAGGTGAACTTCTATAACAAGCAATATTCATTAGCAACTTCATAGAAAGAGCATTATAGATTAAACTACACCAATGATGTAAAAAATCTCACGCTGTAAATATCAAATGACACTAGTAATTAAAAAAATCATTACACTTTCGGTATATGTATAATGTCAACGACACCATATAAGTGTTTGATTAGGAGACAAAATAAAAGAACAGTCATACTAAAGCTGTATTATAATTAATGTAGGTATGAGCTACCTTCAGAGGCATCACCTCCCTCTGCAATATCCGTGACAATCCTGTAAGAAATAGTAGCACATCATATAAAACAACTTATTATCATCTCTACTTCAATATCAAAACCATGCAGGTTCTTTCTGCTTTCGTATTTAGAAGTAGCTAGATGTAGTACGAAAACAAAGATAAGTTCAAGTGTCACGTGTAACGGGGTAAGGTAATTTTACGTAAATTTTTTGATAAGTATTAATTGGTAACCATAAGTAATAAGTAAACTATTATTACAAGTTAATTAAAACTAAACTCCCTGTGTAAAATATCTTTACCCTATTAGTGCATAGACGGAGATAAAAAGGATGGTCAGTTGAAATAACTCAAACAAGTGGAAAATTTGTATGCGCAATTGAAGGAAAAAATAAAATAAATCAAAGTACCAATGGAGCCATTCTCTAAAAGTCGGTTCACTGGGACTAGGAGCATCTGGATCAGCCATTACCTGTGAAAAATCCAGTTGCGGATACAACAATAAGTCCTCTTCCAATTTTCTCTCTAATAAAGTAATAATCACTGCTCATATATGTTTACCTACATTCATAAACGACAAAATTCTATCCAAATTAAACCCAGTCGACAGATAAAAAAAATGACACCATTACTATTATTAAAATCTTTCATAATTTTTAGGAATTTTTAATGGATGTTCAACTTCATTAAAGATATTGATAAAAATATTCACCTTAGTACGAAGAATTCTGTTTTTTTTATTTAATGAGAGGAGTGCTCCGTCTAGTACTATTTACTTGTCGCTTTGACAAGAGTTTTTTGATTAAAATAATTCTTATTTATTACTTAATCACTTTTTAAGATTGCATTGTATTGTTACCTATTCATTGTATTATTACTTTAAATACGATGTTTGTTTTGGTTGTTACTTAAATTTTATTGTATCTTATCGTTTTTGACTCTGGTATCTAATAAGTTTTACCTACTATATTTGAACCAATGACTCCCGCCGTATGAAGCAGTACTCTAACCACTGAGTTAAGTAGGTCATTTATCATCCCAAAGAGAACCAAATGAAACCCATCCTGTCGATGGATTATAAATATCATATTACTTAATAAGCAATACTAATCTAAGGAATACCGCTCAAAGAGATCAAAGTAGTCATTATCTGCTCTTCTACCGTGAGAGGAGCTGATTGGGATTGTTTAAGCAATTCACGTAACCGTTGACCTCTTGCCAATTGATTCTGAGTAGCTTTATCGAGATTCTGAGTAGCTTTATCGAGATCAGAAGCAAATTGTGCAAAGGCACAATTTGCCAGCTACTTTTAATTTACCAGCTACTTGTTTCATGGCTTTTATTTGAGCTGCGGACCCCGCTCTGAAAACGGAGATACCCACATTAATAGCAGGTCTGATTCCAGAATTGAGTAGGTCAGCGGAAAAGAAGATTTGTCCATCAGTAATGGAAATTACATTAGTAGGAATATAAACCGAAACATCTCCCGATTGGTTGTTACATAATGACGAAATGTGCCACTTTATGTAAGGAACAATTTGGTGTGGTTGCGCAGTTATTAAATAATTTTATTTTATAATTTATTCTACCTTTTTAACCTGTATCATATTTTTTTTAAAATAATATTGCAAGCTTATTCTACATATTCCTGATGCGTGATATCATGAAACAACAAACGATATAATCTATTCAAACATAGTATTCCAAATGATACAGTATAATACAATACGATACATTATGAAACGATGTTTAATAACCATCCAAACAAGCTGTTAAGCATTAATAATCAGAGTTGTTTAACTAAATTGCACTTATTTATTATTCAACGACATGTCTGTCTAGAATAATGTAATATGTGGGACTGAAGGAAGTACTAGCAGTAGGCAGACTTACAAGGGTGTAAAGATTATTAGAGCCACGAGAACCCTGGATATGAACTCTAGGCTTTTGTGCAGCTGCAGCCGGTTTTATTTCAACTCCATTAGATATTTGTTTGGAACCATACTCCACGCTAAACTCAACCACCGGAACAAACATGTCGACAACATCTCCGATCACTTTTCCGACAACTAAAGGATCCACTGACCTCGGAGGATTTACCATGTTTGCCATTCTCACAATTAATTGACTGATTGGTATACTACTAGGAAAAACTAGTCAATTTTTGTGAAGTGACTGAAGTTGGTGAAATGGTTAGAGTATAATTAGGAGATGTCGAATATATAGTAAAGCGGACACGTATAGAAATGGTCATTGTCATGTTAACACTGACGTTGCTGAGGGGACACGTGTTATGTTTAGAAGTACTTGTGGTTAACAATTAACAAATCTGAGAATGCGACAGTACAAGAAGTATATCTTGAGGGCCGCCGAAATGTTTTGTTGGGACATATATCCAGCAACAAAGGAGCATTAAGTGATGATATTAGAAGAAAAACAAAAACAAAAACACAGCAAAGGCTAATTGTGAAGGAGCTGTGAAATTTGTAACTGCCGTTTGAGTCTTCCGTTAAATGTACTATTTGCTCAACTTGAGCAAACTTGGATGATAGATGCAAGTAGAGCTGTCAATATGGGCGGGCCCGGTCAAGTCCGCCCACGTGAACTTTAGCAATTGACGGACTGGGCTGGGCTAGTCCATCATTTTAATAGGCTTTATAATGTGTAAAAATTGCACGGGTCGCCCTATTTGGGCGTCCCTTTTTAACCTGTAGCCGCTTTGTCTTTTTGTTTGCATCCGTACCCACTTTTTAAAAAACTTCAGCTTCCTTTATAACTGGGAAACTTCAGCTTTCCGGGTTACTAAACAAAAACTTCTGCTCTAGAGCTGAAGTTTTTATTTTATAACTAGCAAACTTCAGCTCTAGAGCTGAAATTTTCGGGTTACTAAGCTGAAGTTTTTATTTTATAACTGGCAAACTTCAGCTATAGAGCTGAAGTTTTTATTTTATAACTTGAAAACTTCAGCTCTAGAGCTGAAGTTTTCGGGTTACTAAACAAAAACTTCAGCTCTAGAGCTGAAGCTGAAGTTTTTGTTTTATAACTTGAAAAGTTTCCGGGTTACTAAACAAAAACTTCAGCTCTAGAGCTGAAGTTTTTATTTTATAACTAGAGCTGAAGTTTCCGGGTTACTAAACAAAAACTTCAGCTCTAGAGCTGAAGTTTTTATTTTATAACTAGGAAACTTCAGCTCTAGCTGAAGTTTTTATTTTATAACTGAAAAACTTCAGCTTTAGAGCTGAAGTTTTTATTTTATAACTGGCAAGTTCGCGAGTTAAAAAAAAAACTTCAGCTCTAGAGCTGAACTTCAGGCCCGACTACTAAAATGCTGAAGTTTTGTGTAATTGCCTTTGCTACTTCAGCCCCGTGTGCTGAAGTTATGTGAAAAAGCGGGTACGCTTGCAATTTTTTTTGCAAAGCGGGCACAGGTTAAAATGTGGCACAAAAAGCGAGTATAGATGCAAATGCCCCTTATAATGGTTAGTCCATCCCAATTCTATGTGGGCTGCGGGCCTCCACGGGCCGGTCCATCATTTTTTAAAATATAATTTTATATTTTTTCTTTAAGTTCTAACCTAAAAAAAATAAATATTTAAAAGTTAGAAAAATCTAATTGGAAATTTTTTACAAAACTTAATAAATTTTTATACTGTTCCAATATATCTCAATAAACACTAAAAAAGTAATAGACAAGACTATATTTCATTCACTAAAAGTCAAAACTCAAAACAAACTATTCAAGAGAACGTCCATGACGCTTATGGGATATCCAACGCATCATCTTCATCAAACACATTTGAATCCGCTTGTGAGAAGGTTGTCCTAACATCTTCACTTTCATCTACATCTGCAATTCGTATACAATATTAATTAGTTATATATTAAGAATAATTAAATTTTTAAAATTGATTAACGTTTTAAGACTTTGATCTTTTAATACGATGAGTTTAATAAACTTTAAGCTTGGGATACTCTTCTTGTTATTTTTGTGTCATATATTTTTTATGTTTTATATATATATATATATATATATATATATATATATATATATATATACATATATTTTAAATACGTATTTTTATTAGGCCCAAGCCGACCCAGC